GGTTGCTGACGATGCTGCGAGCATCCTGGTATGGACCGGTCCATTCGTGTACCGGCGGTCGGTGCGGGGCAGGCGCCAGGTCGGATCACGGCGCGGCTATGGCCTCCCGAGCCACCCCTAACGGCTGTAGCGGCGAGCGGATGGAGCGATCCATCTGGCGCGTTCCTAGTCCCCCAGTGGGGAGAGAGGGTGCGTGTCAGAGTCGTGATGTGGAGCTTTCTACTTGTTGAACGGTGGCGGTTCTACCAGAACCCGAAGGTTCCAGTAGACCACCCGCTCCTAGGGGTCGACGGGCTCAGGAACGCCGCACAGAAGCATTGCTGCAGCAGCGATGTTCTGGCTAGCCTGAGCGAACTGTGGGAGATCGTCCCCCTCGTTCATGATGTTGTGTTGGACCTGGTGGGCGCGACCCCGGGCGCCGCCTACCGGGTTATGCGCATGGGGCGCAACGTGCGACACCGAGCGCGCCGGCGTAGGCAGCGGCTGGTTCTGTCGTCGTTGTCGTAATTCCTCGGCATGTGCTTGCGCAGACGCGAGGGCCCCCGCACGCGGATCTAGAGGGGTGTGGGTCTGCACAGACTCCACAACCACCGGTGGCCGTCCTAGAGGGTCCGCCATAGCGCACTCCTGGGACGGACGGTGGCGAGGTGCCACGTCGCCGATGCTGGAGCCATCGTTCTCACCCTCGTCATCCGAGAGTTCGTGGAAAGAGGTAGGAGCATAGCTCACCATTCCCACGAACTCAGATGTGAGGGGGGATGGCGCCAGCATCCTTCGAAGCTCCCGAGCATACGCGTCTGCGGGGGACACAAGGTCGTAGGGGAACCGATCATACGGTGTTCGTGGTGCAGTCAACACGGTCCCTCCGGGTGACCGGCGGGAGATAGTAAACAGAGAGTAAATAACATTATGCATATTACTCACAGCGGGGTTTGAGCAGAGAGTTTGCTCAGAATGAAGCGCAGATGCCGCGTCGTTGAAGTCGTCGTGCGTCCCGGAGCCGATGGAGGGTGCCCCTCTGACGAGCGCCGGAACAGGTGTCTCCTAACGAAGGTGTAGTACGTCGAGCCAGTCGGCGATGAAGTCCAGGCTTCCAAGGAGGAAGGCCTGGGATGGCTTGAAGACGGGTGGAACCCACATCCCAACAGGTGAGAGTGCGGAAAACTCCAGTGTGCTGAAGCGAATCGTATCGCATGAGTCCGCCATGGCGAAGGTGGCGGAAAAGTGGGCCATCCGATGACCAAAAAGTGTTGAACGTACAGCGTCTTTCCCACGGACGACGCCAATTGTCGGTGCAGAAAGTGACCAACAAGTAAATATTTGTAGTTTTGTCGTACGTTGTGATCGGAGGTGGCCTAGCACTCAACGACACATGGTTTATACTGATTCAAGCAACGTGCCCTACATCCAGTTTGAGTCGGTCGGTGACTTTATTCCTGAGCCCAGATGCTCGAAGTTTACATTGGGGTTACAAACGAGAAGGAGAAAGATGGGGGTACAAGAGGTCCAGTCGGAAAGGCCGAGAGCGACAGGAGCTCCGCTATGAGCTAATTGTTCAAGCGTGTGCTTGTGGCTCGAACCTGGCGGTTCTATGGTTGTGTGCTAGTGAACTTGGTCGATCTAATGAATCTGAAATCACTTGAATGGATCTCGATTAACTGAGTCTCTTGGGAGAGAGCGCATCCCCTTTTATAGATGAAGGGAATGGCCTTACAAGTGAGAGGGAAAGAGAGAGTACGTATGCTTCTAAACCTTGTTGCCCATGCCGGCAGGTACATGATGGTGGTAGGTGCCCACAACACTGTTGGATGTCGGATGCACGTGAGAGGCTGTATCGTTTTGTTTGGGTATGGCAGATGTCGATACCTGCTATACTGTTGATGCCCAGAGGCATGTGAGGGATTTTACCATATTCACTCGGTATGGTAAATGCCGGCGTCCACAACAATGTCGATGTCCAGAGGCATGTGGGGGGGCCTTACCGTGTGGGAGTTAATGGCGCCCACAATACTGTAGGGAAAATGTCGACGTCTACAACGCTGTGTGTCAGGGAGGCTGTAGAGTACTGTTTCTGTAGGCGTATATGGTACGGTCCCTGGTATCGTGGTTTGACTTTGTGCGCCCTACCTTGCTTTCTCCGTTCGTTCCCTGGTCCTTTCTGAGCGGGCGTCTCTGGTCGGTTGGTTTCAGTCGGCTCTGATTGCGCCAGTCGGAGAAGAACAGTGAGCGGGGTTTTTGCGTACCCTGGTCGGAGACGTGGGGTCGGAGTCGGAAGTGGTGCTTTGGCCAAGCCTTCCGGTCGGAGAGGCCGTTCGAAGGCGGTTGGAGACAAAGTGAGCACTCCGGTTGGAGAGGTGGGCCGGAGTCGAAAAACGGGCGCTGCTCCTCCTCGGCCAGACCTTCCGGTCGGTGATTGGATCGCCCTTTTGGCCTGCTGTTTAGATACTTGGGCCGTCCCATGAGTTGCGCACTGTCTGCTTGGGCCGAGCCTTTGCGGGAAAGCCGGTCTGTAAGGGATCCCGGGTTTATAAATCCGACATATACTATTATTATATTAAAGTTTATCAGCATATAGCCTGTTCGGTTGGTTGGTTCATTTTGTTGCTGGCTCGTGAAAAAATACTGCTGACTGATTTATATGCAAGAAAAATACTATTTCGACTAAAAATTTACGATCATTTATCATAAGCCATAGCCAAACGAACGTACTGATAATCGTGTCACCCAACACCGGATGTATATCTGAAACCAAGGCGAGCAACGTGGCCGGGTTGCAGAAGCCTCAGCAAGCCAGACAATCTTCGTCATAAGTAAATCTGACGTATACTGCAGGCTGGGAGGCGCGGCTGAGCCGCTGAGGCGGCTGGCTGCAGAAGGTCGGCGCAGGAGGGCCGTGCGGGCTAGGCCAAACCCACCAGGCCACCAACCCAAAGCATAGCCTGTGGAAAAGCCCACGGATTAGCCCACTCATCCGCCACGGCCGCACATCCACCACAACTCCTGCTCAAACCCTAATTCACCAATCCCCTCAATATAAATAAACGCCGCCTCTACTGGAATCCCCGCATCGCCGCTGAGCTTTAGGTTTAGAACACAGCGCCCCAATCCACATCCGACGCCAACCCAGATCTGCAGAGCTCTACGTTTGGAACGCCTCCAGATCGTGGATTCATCTTGCTTTCTGTTCAATCAGTTCTTTGTGTCAAGTGAGATGGCAGTGACGACTCGGTAATATTCAAGCTCAACAGACCGAATCACAGGTCTCTCTCTACACGAGGTTGATCTGTATGCCGATTTTCCCGCTGAACCGAGCCATCTAATTTCTCTCTTTGGGTCTCGTGCTTATTTGCTATTCGAAATATTTTCTCCGGGCGATTTGTTTTTCGTTTGCTTTTCTTTTTTCCATTGGAGCGTGGAACAGACTGTTGCGATGAGGATACCAAGCTCCCTCTTCTGAAAGCATTGAGGACACTTGCTGGCAGAATCGAACCAATAACCACATTGCCACCACTGAGTAACTACAGATCCCCTCCAATCTGTTTTTTTTGTTGTTGTTTTTCTTGCGCCGTAATTTGATTTTGGATAGTGAAGATCAACTGACGCATAATCCAACACTTGATCCGAGGCCGGCTTCTGCCGCGCGAGTGATGCACAGACATCTCTGCATCTGAATCCTGAATATCTCTACAACTGTAATGGTTTTGACTTTGTGCTGAACCTTCTCTCGCTGTTCTGACTTTTTGTGTTGTTGAACTGTCATTGTATCAGATGATGAAACCTCGAAACTATCTTAGGACACCTTCTGACACAGTGCTGGTAGCTCTGTGAGTGAGAAGGCAATTCTTTTCTGATGATACTCTTTGATTTTGCCTTTTTAATATCGTTTTTTGGTATCTTTTGGTCTTTAACATTGTTTGCTCTAGGCAGGTATATTTACAACCTTACACTGTCGTGTGATCTGTATGTAAGCCAATGATGATTAGCTATACATCTGGAATTACCGTCAGATTTACTTATGACGAAGATTGTCTGGCTTGCTGAGGCTTATGCAAGTATACGTATTATACATCTCTGTTTTCGTCATGTACTCATGTTAGTTTAATCTAATTATGTAGACGTAGTTGCAGTCCCAATAGTCTCAATGAGGATCTCAAGACCTACCGATAGGAAGTGCCGTTTGACACTGTAAACAGCAGCTGCTTCTTTCTGCTGCAGTTGTCTATTCTTCGACCATAACCTTTGTGGTTTGGTCTGGGATGGAGCCCCATCTGTAGTTGTTGGAATCAGCTGTGGTGTGATTTAAATCGGGTCTCTGAGGGGTCATAATAACTGCCTGTTAACTAATTCAACGTGTTTTAGTTATGAACTGTAATGAAATGAGATTTGAGCCTGATGCCACGTCTCTGTTAGCCACTGCATTGACCAGAGATGCTATGATTAGGCCGAAACAAAGTTGTTTCAACATTTCACATGTTGATAGGAACCTGGGGACTGCTTCTCTATCTGTCCACAGAGCCGGTTAATGTGATTACATTTTTCTGCATGTGCGCTCTATTTTAAATTAGTTTGTTTGCATTGTGTATGGCGATGATGACAAAGCTAAGGCTTGTTTCTCAACATTCGCAGTAGCCGCCCAAGAGCTTTCGCCCTGCCAGGTTTGAGAGCTAGTGCTGTTAATTTCTTCCTTGGATGTCTGAGCCATATATATTTCAAACATTTTTCCGTGCCTATGTGTTAGATATTTGATTTTTTATTGCAATTTTGCAAATGATGACAAAATCAAGTCGTTTCTCCACATTCGCAGTTGCCGCCTAAGAGCATCGCCGAGAGTACCCAATATATTTTCCCTCAAAACATGATTTTTTCTAACTCCTAAAATGAAATTGGGAGAAATAAATAAGGTCATATCCAATAGTTTCCTATAATTAGCTCCCAAAATCCTAAAACTTTGGTCCCACAGTCCTCCGTGGCCTGGGCGGGGCTCTTCGACCGCTACCGCCATGGGTACGCCGTCCGCCGGCGGGCTCGGCTGCTTTGACCGTTCGTCGTGGCTGGCACAGAACATCAACGTGGGCATGTTCGACTACCTGTACTGGCTGCTCGCCGTGCTCAGCACAATCAACCTGCTCGTCTTCGTTCGAGACGCAGACCACAGTTGCTGTTCAGGTTCGCGGCGGCCTGCGCAACTACGACGCGGCACGGGCGGCCGGGATGAGCAGGCACTTTGGATTCAATCGCTGTCCGAGAAGATGCGGCCCGGCGAGTCCCCCGAGGCCGCCGCGGCGTGCGCCGTCCGGGAGGAGCTATCCATGGAGTGTCGATTGTCATAGCTCATAAGTGTCCTTATGCGAAGTGTTCAGTACCAATAGGTGTGAGAAACAGAAATATGAGCTTCAGTTTGGGCAGAAGAGCTGTATCATGACCCTGGTTTGCAAGTTGCAACTGATGCTTGTGATGTGTACGATAAACTAGCAGCAGAAGGTATTATGGCTATTACCAACTTGCTATACCTTAAAAACAGTTCTCTACTGGCACACATATCATTGTTACCAGATATTGACATCAGAGGCTCTGTTCGGCTTACCTTATAATCCGTACTATTCAGCTGGTTTTTTTTCAGTCAGAACAGTGTTTTTTTCTCACAGCAATTCAGATAGAACAGTGTTTTTTAGCCAATTCAGTCAAGTTTCAGCAAGCCGAACGGGGCCAGAGATGCTACCAAACTCACCTAGTTCAGAATCAGTACTGACGAAACGTAGTAGCTAATGTTACCATAAGCTTAGGAAACAGCTAAAAGCAGATAATGTTGGAGGTAATGGACTCAGGTCAGATTACAGCATACATTGGGTTTAGCTTCAGGAACTTCAGATATTGAAGACATAGGTTTAAATCTCAATGTTCAAGAAACTGAGGTGCTAATCAGCTTCCAACCACGATGACCAAGGTATGCAAGGGCAGAATCCCCTTTTTTTATATCCCCATCCAGGTGATAGTGCCCATGGCAGCATAAACAAATATTCCTGGAAGCTTTGCTTACAATAAGCGCCCAGAAGACAACAGCTAGTTTTAATTGATTCTGTATTCAGGGAATAAAATAGTACTGTAGTTAAATGAGCAGTGTTCCATGTTGGATTCTAGATTCAGGCTGAGAATATGGCACAACTGACAATAAATAAAAAATGTCTCTTTTTCAAATATATTCATGTCTGTTTTTCAGATACAGTAGACACTCCACAACAGATAATTCGAATTAAAGAAAGTAATGGGCAAAGACTATCCCGGATAGGGCGCAATGGGTCAACATGACCCTTTGAATTAATACTATTCTTATTCAAATTTAATTAATCAAAAGTGTTAGTAAATAGGAGAAGGGCGGGCCTGATGTAAGCGGTAGAGTCTTACCGTCTGTCACCGGAAGTTCCCGGGTTCGAGTCGCGGTCTCCTCATAGGCGATGGTAATGCTTGCCACTGACACCCTTAGACCCCGCACAGAGCGGAGCTCTCTGCATTAGAGTCGCCCCCCCCTTTTTTTGTTAGTAAATGGGAAGGATCAAACAATTTGTTTTATGAATGCATAGGTTTAAAGTGCAAAGTATTGTATGAACAAGAAGAATGCAAAGTGTTTACTATCTGGTAACGATTGAGGTTAGTAAAATAGCAAGTCTGCATGACTGTGTACTTACCAGTTATTCCAATCCAATACTGAAAGACATAATTACACTAAAATTATAAGGCAAGCTACAAGGAGAAACAAATTTCATCTTAACAAAGAAGGTAAACTCAATAGATAAAAAAAAAAACATGACGTCCACAAAAAAAAAGTTACTAAATTTAATACAACCGTCCATTACATTCATAACATGGTGTCCACAAAAACAAAGGAACTAAGTTTAATACAACCGTCCATTACATTCATTAGACCCACAAAAACATGGTTTCATCTTAATGTTATCATCAGAATCATAAAACATAAACTATTTGATAATCATTGTAATCATGGGATCGATTTAATACAACCGTCCATTGCATTCATTAGACCCACAAAAACAATGTTTCATCTTAATGTTACCATCAGAATCATAAACCTTATCTATTTGATAATTGTAATCATATGATAGCTTTTTAAGGGGAGGAATATCCTCACTAGCAAAAAACATGATGTGAGGCATACTTATATTGTCATGGTCATGGAGGACATTCTGAGGGAAAAGGTTCGGGGTGCAACAATGATTGATGAACCTTGCAAAGTTGCCCCGGTTCAATGCAACAGCAAAGACAGTTTCATCATCTTCACTAGGGCCATTCTGAAGAGAGGGAATAGCCTTGATCTCGGCCTTCCAATGAGGTGCATCATAATAGCTGTTCCCAATAGCAAATAGGTATTCATCATTCTTTCTCTCCTGGGCCTCTTCATCTGTCAATAGCTCTCCTACGTATTCGCATACAAAACTTCCATCTGGTATGAAGTCAAGAGTTCTTACTCCCCATCCCATTGACTTGGTTTTGAAGACCTGGAGGCGAAACTTGATTCCATGCTGGCTAACTCTATTGCGACAAGTAGGAGGGCACTTGCATGATGGTCCACACTCATAAATAAGAGGTTTTCCTTCCGTAAGTCCACCAATATCATTGAAATGGAAGCCCCCTCCATTTTTTACCGTGCATGCACATTTTTGAGAGACTGAACACCCACCAACACAGTCACAACCTGATGGAGGATCTGGCCTGTACTTTAGGGGATACTGTATGAAATCATAAGCCAGGACAGTAACTTGAAGAGAGGCAGAGGAAGACCGAAGTTGACTTGGGTAGAGGCAATAAAAGAAGACTTAAAAGGATGGAATATATCCAAAGACTTAGCCTTAATATGAGTACTTAGAAAACAGCTATTCACGTGCCTGAACCTTGATTGCTTCTGCTGGGTTTCAACTCTAGCCTACCCCAATTTGTTTGGGACTTAAAAGCTTTGTTGTTGTTGTTGTATTGAAACGTTGTCAGGTACTCGTTTGATATAGAGTTAATAGCAGAAATAGGAACCTTCTCAAGACCTCCATATATGTCTACAATGAAAGTGCCAGCAAATGATTCCGGCATTTTAGTTTTCAAAACTTGTAGGTCGATATGTTGCTGCTCTGTCATTCTTCTTAGATGAAAAATACTAACATACTGCCTTCCTCATGTTTTTTCTCTGTTGCATTTCTCAACCAAGTATAAACCACCATATACATAACTAGTAAGCTGTTTGGGTTGGCAGTCATCACCTAGGTCCGTTACCACTGCATGGACAACGCGGACAGGCGTATCAGTGTCCATACTCTCTTTTAGTGCCATGTCAGTTCCTTCCATTTCCTGATCACACGTGTCAGTCACTGATCCAACGTGTAACAGGAAATCCAAACTATCAAAAGCAGAAGGTTGTGCATATGACACGACACTAACAGCTAGACACGTCCCATCCTTCTTTTTGATGTGATCAACTGCTAACGATTGTGCACGGTGTATACCAACAATGTAAAGCTCCATGACAGAATTGAACACATCACCAATACGAACTCCAGGAATGCTTCCGTCATACTTCAGGTCATCGTAATTGGCACAAAATCTCTCCCTAAAAATATTGAAAGCTGCAAGATCAGGGCTCAGACCATGCCCCCTTTCCCTCCACTTGATCTGTTCTTCCTCCAGGAGCTTCTTGTAAATTATCCGAAACTCCAGCAATGTAGTCAATACATTTTCTCCGACCACGGAAATTCTGTTATTTGCCGTCGCTTCATACTGGTCATCCTTGTCAATTTTCCTCTTCTTTGGTGCTGAACCAGTTCCTTCAGGAATTCTCACTGAAGATCGTCCACTAGTAGCTGAACCTTTGAGACGAGAGTGATTGCGTGCCATGGCAGGGGCATCCTTCCTTGATCCATCTCCGACCTTGGATGTTGGATCTTCAGCTTCTCCATTAGATCTATTTCCTGAGGATAAACCTTGTGGCCACTTTGGCTCGTACCCGATCTGGAACCTCCATGGCACAACAGTCTTGCACCCTTTGTGTGGCTAAGCCAGCTGAAGCTGTTTTATTGTGAGAAAAAAATACTGTACGCTGATAAGCCAGCTTGATAGGTTCAAGCGAACAGGGCTGAAAACCCGGGAGATAGCTGGTTTGGCCATCCCATGGGGATCTGCTGTGACTCCGTCGTTCTCAAGGCCCACAGGAAATCCGCCATCTTTGGGTAGTGAATCGGCCTCTTTGGCAGCCGGATTGCCGTCGACACTACCCAAGCCGCGATTCTCTCCGTCGACCGCGCCGCCACCTCTGTTATTCGGAACCTCGATTTCCCCATCGGTCGCGGGTCTCTCCCCATCCACACCGCTTCCGTCGTTCAGGGAGACGGAGGGCACGTCACTCGTCGCCGTCTGGCAGCTCATCTGGAGCGTCTCCAAGCCGCCGCTCTTCCCATCGGAAAGAACGCCCGCGTTCATCTCCCGCCGCACGAAGCCGCTCTGGAAGCGCCATGGCGCGAGCACCTTGTGCCGCCGCGCGCCGCCCGCAATAGGTGAACCACCCCCCCGCATCGACGCCTCGCGCGGTCAGACCAAACAAGCGGCCCACGATACCTGCAAGCGCTAACAGTCAGACAAAACCTAAGGAAGCGGCCGAGCAGGCACTGCGGAGACTGGAGAGGGCTCGTTCGGCAGGCGGTGACGGTGGCGGCTGAGTACCTGCAACGCGGGGTCAAGATGATGGGCGATCGGCGCCTCGGACTTCATGGCTTGGTGGCGGGGTGCGGGGAGGTCTGGAGATTTAGGAACAGGCGGGTAGCGCGGCCGCGGCCGTGCGACTGCGCCTTCGTGACTCCGGCGAACACGAGCCCTTTCCTATTGGGGCCTGGTTTAGATTGAAAAAAATTTCAAACCGATGAATAGTAGCACTTTCGTCTTATTTGATAAATATTGTCTAATCGTGGACCAACTAAGCTTAAAAAGATTCATCTCGTGATTTCCAACTTTCCCTATATTTAATGCTTCATGCAAACGGGTGTTGTGAGAAAAAAAACTTGGAATTTTGAGGGTATCTAAACAAGGCCTGGGTGTTTGAGAAAAACGAACCCTTTTCCTAATATAATCAGGGGAGTGAAAAAAATTCTATCCGCAAGATAGACGGTGATGTCAGGGCATGTTAGGCCGAACTGGGCCAGACGAAAACTTTAAATGGGCCCAAGCAGAGCTCAATCAAAATAGGAAAGAAAAAAAGTACTTAAGCCTGATTTTTAGTTCACGAAATTTTTTAGGAAATGGTACTGTAGCACTTTCATTGTTATTTGTCAATTAGTGTCCAATCATAGTCTAATTAGGCTTAAAAGATTCGTCTCGTGAATTTCGTCTAAACTGTGTAATTAGTTTTATTTTTTATTTATATTTAATGCTTCATGCATGCGTCCAAAGATTCGATATGACGGGGAATCTTGAAAAATTTTGTAAAATTTTGGGAACTAAACAGGCACTTAGGGCAAGTTTGGTTTCTCAAAAAAACAACAAAAAAAACTTATGGCAAGTTTGGAGGACTGGTTTTGGAATAAATATACCATTGTAAAAAACGAATGAGGCGATGGCTTGGTGGTTGGATGCGCTCAGTAGAGCGTCCGTGGCCTGAGTTCAAGCATGGCTCAATGCATGTTTCGCATCGAGATTTTCTCCATTCAGCCTGTTCGCCAGAGCTTATGAGCCATGGTATCAGCCGGGCTTATCAGACCAGAAACTAACCAGCGAACAGGCTGATTTTCTTTGCACTTGCAGTCTCAAGTGTGGATGTACTGTGCGTGCGATATGAGTTTGTACTATTGTCGTCCGCCGCATCACGACAAACGTGTCAAGGAGATCGAGCTCTCCATAGCTCCATGCTTGCGTTCGCCACACTCCCCGTCGCCTTGTGCGCTGCCACGAGAGCCATTCTTGGTAGCTCCATATCCATGGCCGCCAACACCACACCCTCCAAGCTCCCACTTGGGGAAACCTCAAGTGTCGTCCATCTAGCACTCACTAGTCACTACTACATAATTCATCATCACCGTCCCACTTTCACCATGGTTTGATGCAAACCGTTGGTGATGCTCATCACCGTCGGTTCGTGTTATTGGTGAAATGATTTTCACTGCCGATTTGCCGATTACCATTGCCGGTTCGTATAACGAACTTACGAACCGACGGTGATAACCTATCATTACCGCCAGTTCATGTTACCAACCGGCGGTGATGGTCGACCAATTTTCACTGTCGGTTTGTGTTACGAACCAGCGGTGAAAATCATTCCACTAATGGTTTGACTTATGTGCTACAACATAATAAAATTCACAACATTTTCAAATAATATCGGATGAAAATAAACTTTATATCAAATTTGTAAATCTACAACATTATAGTTAATGACCTTTTTATTTGAAATCTTTTATAGTCCTAGAATTCTGTTTGAAGTTTTCATATTTTAAATTCAGTTTTTTCAAATTGTACAAACGACCTGGTCATCACTAAATGGCTTAGTCTACAATTTAAACCTTTACTAGCAAGCAGATAAGCACACAAAAAGGAGAGCATATAAGATTCAAATAACTCCAGTCTAGATGCCATAATATCAGAGTATGCTTTTAGAAAAATATGAAATTTGTTTCATATTTTCTTCAAGCTACGACATTTTTTCTATGAATTCCCAAAGATTAAGGGCGTGTTCGGCTGATGCAGTGGATTTCGGATGGTTTCGGATGATTTAATAGTGTTATGTGAGAAAGAATAAGCTAAAACGAGCCAGCAGTAGACCAACCGAACACCCTGTAAACCATGAGAAGATAAGCACCTGGAGCTGTTTGAGCCGATAAGTAGGTTCGGTATGTGATGGGAGGGTCATGGAGGCGTTCTTGCTAGTTTGCGGTTCTAGGCCAACATGTGGATCTATTAAAGGAGCTAGCGACGAGCAATATTATATAGTAAGCATGTCAAATAAAGGTTTGACGAGAGATAAGGTAAAAGAAGTGCGCATGTACACCCGTTCGTGTATTGGTTTCAGTCAGGACTTATCAGTTGGTCAACAGTGTTTTTCTCTCACAACAAACCAGCACCAGTCGAACTTATCAGCCCAGAAACCAACCAGCGAATAGGGGCAGCTATTAACTTGATGGGGCCCTTAGCACAAGTGCAATACTATATGACAGAGCGCGTAGAACATAATTTTTGTCAATACAATAAGATGTCATTCATTGTTGTGTGATAAGTACACTTAAACTTCTTGATCCAGTAACATCAAACTTGACACCTACCATGTGGAATCCTAGTTCACGAGGGGCACCCGTGCATATTTTGTTGTTGTTGTTGTCGACGTCCTCCTTTTATAGAAATGGCAATAACAAGATCAAGAAAATTTCCATAATATGAAAGAAAAAACTCCAAAAACAAAGAACACCAAAAAGGAAAAAAAAATGGGGAGGGTTTAGTGGCACTGCTACTTAGCAAGTTGGAGTGTGTACTGAATAAAGTTGCCTCAAGTGTGCATCACCACTAGTTGTATACGTGGAGGAGTGACTGTTTAGACCGATCTAAATTGATAGTTTCATTTGTTGTTTCCAAATATGGCACATCAGCAGTAGAGCATTTGATTCATAGTTGGATCAACCTTAGTATAATGCATAGTTTCAATTTTTATGTTTCAAATACGCTCATCGCATTTAATTTTGTGGCGCATTATTATAATTAGTTTCTGGAGGCTTCATCTAGATGAAACTCATTATACTTCTTTTCTCTTGAATTCACTCATTGCGTTGTTTCAATATAGTCATCTCATTGATTTTTTTCCCTACACTCTATTAAGCGAGAATGGAATTTGTACCGAGAGTGGCGTTACTCATTCGCCCAAAAATGCCACCACCATGTTCAAAGTTTTTTCATCGTGGCGCAGTGTCCCTGTACCAAAGATTTGGATGCTTGCACGTAATTATTGCCATACGATCGGATCTTTCGTGTGAGCCCTACTGTCTGCCCTGTTGCTTACAATACTCCAGCCCTTACCTTTAAGTAGTGGTTGGCGCATCGCTGCATCCAATGGAGACACTGCTGCATAGCACACCTCATTGCTTGTTGAAGTTACCTTTGCTATCAGAACGTATCCGCACACGATTCAGAAAAGTCATCAAGACACCAACACTATGTATACAATCTACTGCAGCTGGTACAACCGATGACGACTACACCACCACTACACCAACCAACCAAAAATGCAGGAAGAGTGCACATCAAGAACACACACAGCCACCAGCTAACTAGTACATACGTCGTCGACGCGTGCCGACTGACAGGCACATGCTCCCAAGCCACGGACGGACCAGTCGATACATCATCGGCTTGGGTTTCAGGCGGCGAGCTGCTGCTGGGCGCTGCATCCGGCGCCGGCGTCGTCCTCGGACAGGCAGCAGTACTGCAGCCTGAGTGGCGCCGGGGGAGCCTCCGCCTTCGCGCACAGCAGCTCGGACTGCAGCACGGCGCAGTAGTCGCCGAACGTCTCCGGCGATACGTTCAGGTCGAAGCCGACGCCGAACAGGAAGTCCACCTCCAGGTAGTTCATCTCCACCAGGCTGATGCCCCCGACCTTGGCGAAGTAGGCGTTGTTGTAGCATCTGCGTGCGTGCACAAATACACCACTCGCACATCAGCTTAATTTGACCTCTTAATAATGAAAAACGTATCAACGGACGTGTTCTAAAGAAAAAGCTTAATTTGGACTACTCTGTGTCAGTGTTCAACTGCAGCTTCTTCTCAGCCTAACTCCTTTTTTTCCCCAAAGAAAAACAGCGTCAATTTGTCATACTACATAAATTCCTTCCATTTTTTCTACTTGTCTTATGATTGAGTTTGGCCAATGATTGACGGCAAAATTACAGTAAAAGTGTCAGAGCAATAATCACGCAACCGAACAAAAGCGCGACCAAAATTTTACCAAATAGAACAGGCACCGAACGGAACCTTTAAAGAATGGCAAGTTGCCCAATAAGAGAAGACTAATAATAACCAGAAAAGCAAGAAGAGGGTGGATGCTCCTGGGACCCTGACATGAGGAAGTGAGTGAGCAAGGGGCAAACATCAGCAGCAGATGCAGATGGCTGGCAAGTTGGCAGTCCCAATCCCCTACAACTGGCGCCGAATTAAAATTCCAAGCCGCAGAAAGGTGACGGGGGCAGCGTGGAAATTCTAGTTTATGTCTTCGGGTCCACGGTGGATCTGTGTGGTTGGATGGACGCAAGCAACTCAGGAACAACCGTGGTCGCTTCGCTGGACAAGCATAACTTTGTCGTCCATGGTCGATTGCCTTGTTTGCAAGGACGACAAAATTGAAGGCTTGGATTACCCAATGAACGGCCTAGTCTCATTCACATAGCATAGGTGAACTATTGAAGTGAATGCCTAGACTCCTACCTTCTCTTGTCTTGTGATGATCATTAGCACAATACTGTATGTATGGATCAAATGGCTGCCGCCGAAAGTTCTGAATGGATGAGTGTTTTGCACACTTTTCTTATGCTGCTAGGACAAACTGTTGTATATGATACTGTAACACAGACACTTTCACGATAATGTTATCACAAGTAAATTTTCCATTTTCTTTTGACGTTTACCAGAAGTAACTTCACCGAATAGTAGCTACATAACAATGGGACGCAATTCCGGAGAGATCCTAGCTTCCTAGGAGTGGAAATGATGCTTGAGTTACTTGGACGGCACTCCTAAACTATTCCTGGCTGGCTAGCAGAATTCTGAACTTGGGAGCTGGGAGAACAGAGGAGCAGCAAAAGATGCCTATGTTGAGTTGTAATAATATAGCACTTTGTCACAGCAACTCTTTGCACAAGAATCCAAAACATTTGAATTTTTCCATGGTACAAATCTTAATATCAAAGAAGAGAAATTCAGGTGGTCCAATTGATTTTCTCCCGAGCAATTCACCATCATGGTGTTTAAATCCAGGCGTTCTACGCAGCACATGGAAATTTCAGAATCAAGAACATCTGAACATACCAAGAACAGAGCGAACCGCACCAAGTCACTTGACCTACGTGTTCCCAATTATAGACCGACAGATACCTAATCGAGAAGACGATCATGTGCAGCTACGCCGCAAATTCAGCTAGACAGTTGGTTCGTTTGATCGCGATACCAATAGGCATGGAGAGAGGGATACATCGGACTCACATGTCGTCCATGAACTTGACGGCGGCGAGCACGGCGGTGATGAGGAGGCGGTGCACGCTGTAGGAGTCGACGGCGAGCGCAAGGCGGCGGCCGCGGCGCAGGAGGCGGTCAAGGTAGACGTAGGCCACGACGTAGCACGCGGGGCTGCACCCAGCGAACCGCGCGATGCGCGCCATGTACGCGCGCACCGAGATGCCCGGCTTGGTCGTCGCCCGGAACGCCGACGCCGGGGCCACGGCCACGGCCGAGAGCTCCGCGGCCGCCGCCGCGTCGTTGCGGTCCGTGACGCGCTCCAGGATGCCGGCGAGGGCGGCCACGACGCGGGGCATGTCCTCGGCGCCGCCGCTCTCCACCAGCTCCTCGCACTCGGCCATGGAGGTCTCCGGGCCGGGCTCCCTCCCTGGCCTCTGGTGTGGCGCACGTGTTGAGCTCCAGGGCTGGTGGAGAGCAGGTGGGGAGAGTTTCAGCCGGTTCGCTCGTTGATTTGAGTTTATCAACCGTTGTATAGTATTTTTCTCTCATAACGAACCAGCATCAGCTGAATTTATCAGGCCAGAAATCAACTAACGAACGAGCTTTATCAGAACCTGTCTTATAGAACAGATCGGAGGACAACAGATGTGGTTAATTTGGTTTTCGTTGATTTTCTTTCGTGCTGATTTAGGAGATCTTAACCTAAACGTTTAGCATCTTCGGTGACAACTGAGAAACTAGAGGCTACCACTTGGTTTAAGTCAACGACAACGAATCATTGAGTTTAAAAGGTTAACCGATTTACTAATCTTCACATCTATATCTACATCTATGTTTATATCATATATCTAATAATACTAATCTATACCTAATAAATTTCTCTCCACCTATTTTATTCGTCCACATCTCCCTAACTACCTGGATAGTGAAGAGTTTCCTTCATATCTCGTATGTAACCCGGGCTCATGACTCATACCCATATGAGTTAGGACTCGTATCTAGCGATGATGAATACGAAGTCCGAGTATGTACATATTAGGTCGCACCCTATATATCTTATATGTGAACCAGACTCATAACCTGCATTCATACGAGTTAGAACAACTCGAATCTAACGATAATATAGATATTCCTATATATAATTATATTTCAATGCACGTGCAAGTTTGGTAATACCTAATATTAATTTTTACCGTAAAAACTACTTCTTTTCTTATACTAGAATTTGTTCCTATCGTTTTCTCTTCTGGTAATGCTACCATTAAGACGTCTGGAAGGTCGGATGTTTCGCTCCACTCAATGCCGCATGTGCCGCTCGCCTAATAAAAATCAAAATTAACTGCCGCACGCCTTGCTCCGCTCTGCTTCGCTCCTGCATGCGGCGCTCGGTTCTGCTCCCATGCTCGACTACCAGCCCTACCAGATGCCGTGCGCGGCTACCCTCTCCTGGTTTTGGCGCGCGACTGCCTATGAGTCGCAACGACGCGGTCGTTGCCGGCCCTGCCAAAGTAGATCGGGATGTTGCAAGTGTTTCATACAAATGTTTCAGAGATATGTTGGAAGTGTTTAATACGGATGTTGCAAAAGTAGATCAGTATTTTGCACATGTTGTAATGGTTGTACACTTATGTTGCAAGCTCATATTCTCAATGTTCTATCTGTTTTTTTTTTCCGACGTATGTTACAAGTGTGTTTATCTGGATGTTGTATATGTTTTCACACATATGATGTAAGTGTTTTATCTGGATGTTGCGTATGTTTACAATGGTTTCAAGTGTTTTTCAAGTGTTTCAGACGCATATTTCATTTGTTTCAGACGTATATTGCAATTGTTGTATCTGGAATGTTTTAAAACTAGATCGAGTGTTACATATCCCTCCTCGCCTTTCTGATGTCTCGCCTCGGTGTTAGACGTGGGAAGGCGGAGGTGGTCCCCATAGGCACGAGCGGGTCCCACGTGCTTGCGGGCGGGCGCAACGAGCAAGACGTGGCAGGCAGGTGCAGAACACCAGACGGGGGACAACAACACGGACGTGTTCGGACAGGGGCTAGTATCCGGATGTTCCGGGCTGTAGCCACGCCCTTTCTCTTTAGCCTTCTAGGAGGCAGTAAGGTCTGGCTCGATCTATCGATCTCCTATGAGATTGAGACTTCCCCTCAAAGGGCTATGGCGGGTTAAATTTGTATTTTTTATTAACACTTAGTCAAATAAAACTATATTTATGTATAATATAAGATAACTATGTCCACACTTTCCCTCCGTACTATTTTAGTCGCTATATATAATAAATTATTTTAAGAAATAACTGTCACGGTCTGACTTTTGAGAGTTAGGAAAAAAATGCGCCTCTTTTTTTTTTGCGAGACCCAGTTACAGACGTAAACGCTGGCCCCGTTCGGCTTTCCCAGAAGCCGGCTTGTTTGGCTTCTTTTTTCAGCCGGAACAGTGTTTTTCTCTCACAACAATTCAGTCAGAATAGTATTTTTCAGCCAAGTTTCAGCAAGCCGAACGGGGCCACATACACGAGCGCACACTCACCCCTATGAACGCACGCACGCACACCCTACCCCTATGAACACCTCCGAAGAATTGAGTTGGACCGGCAAATCTCGAGATTGATGAAGTCACCATAGGTGCCTCGCTGTCGACGGGCACGTCGTCTATCACTAAAAGTATAGCGCCGTTAAATCCTGAAATAAATCTAGAAAAATGCGAGCAGAACCCAACCAGCTGAGCTACGCTCAGTTCAAAAAAAAAATGTGCCTCTCTGTACCTTTTTCTTTTTAATGAACAAAAATATATACATGTATTTAAAGATTTGTTTAGGGCCGCTCCACGAGCTTTACACCACAAACTACACAGTAGAGCGCTCCAGAAAAAACCTAGAGTTTCTGAAGCTCCCCTTTAGGTACTCAATAGTTGAACTCCATTTTTTTCTAGAGCAGAGTTTCTGGAACTTTATCTATTTGGTTAAAAACGTGGAGCAGTCCTAAACAGACGCTAAGCATTTGTGTCTATACTGCGTTTCTTACTAACAAAATATTTGATCAGCCAGTAAAAAACTAAAAAAACGGACGTGTTCTACATAATGTCAAACCGTTATTTTCTCGGCTTAATGGCTTTTGTATTGGAAAAGGAGCTAGGAAGTCCTACACCTGTCACGTCTGATTTCTTTTTTCTACAGTTAAAAACACATTCGTTCCTGCACAATGCTCGCAGCATGGTCACCACGGATGTCCCGCATGCACCACATAGCACAGAATGCCATTATATCAAGGAAAACAGAACAGAAAGCAGCCCAAGTTGCTTTTGATGCAGCTTGCAACCTTATGTGCTGATTTATGCAGGATGCACTCAGCAAGTGCAGAAGGCCTTTCTCTCAAAACAAACGTGTGCACCGCTCCAACAAGAAAGCAAGAGCAACCTTTACCTTTCTGGATCCGGCCAGTTGTTTGTCTATCACATTTTCTATATCATGGGATATTTTTTTGTATAATACTGTAGAAAATTTCCATGCTTCATACCTTTTTTAAAGAAGAAGCATCGATCAGTCTATAATATTGCAAGCACATTCAATGTTTTAACTCATATACATGTCTGATAGAGTCGAATCGCACATGATGATATTCAAAGAATAAATATTGGATCATGAGACACATCCAATACTTGATTATGGTTGCTTCTTGTGCTACCCTGATCTGGCTGGTGAACGATATCTGTCGTTACTGTAACTACTGCAGTGCTCTGCATGCTCCTCGTTTCAGGTAATAGGCATGCAATCAAGGAGGGTTGATAGATTGAGGTTGGTCATGGCAACCACTTTTGTAGTCGTCCCTCTTGCGTCCCCCACGTGCTTTTATTTTTCCTCTGTGCAACTGTACTGTCATCAGTTCGGTGCTGACAAATTAGCTGCTTCGTTCGACAAAGATTGCATAGCAAAGCAGCACCTTGTGTTTGAGCGGATGCAGAGGGAGGCAGCGCGCGGTTGGTCCCTGTCAATTTCTCTAACAAACGCTTCACCTGCCGTTCTCATAAATAGACCCAGATGGATACTCCTGTGGCACCCAAGGACGGATTAGCATGCAAGTTTCGAAGATGTTTTGCAGGCGAGATACTGAAGAAAAATCTGAGTCAACATTCGCCATCCAAAACAGATTCTGAAGAACGTGAGAGGAAAGAGGGTGGATTCGGTTCCCGTGCAGCCCAGATGTGGCTCAGTCCAAAGTGGGGGGGGGGGGGTCCGGGCCGCAGGCACCAGACCAGCAGAAAATCCAGCCCCACGGGCCTATCAGAGATCAGCCCACGAGCTGCCGTTCCGCGTGTGGCCACGAACTGCCCATATCCACATCTCCATGCCGGCCGGCCGCGCGTCCTTTGCTCCGGTGCGGCGGCCCGTACGTCCGTCAACTCGCGACAGGCGACTGCAGGGCGGCAATAATGCAAGCAGGAGGAGCCGGGTCGGCGGCGCGCGCGCGGACGCTGCCGGAATCGTCAAGAACTGTGGGGTTGAGCAGGGCCGTCCCAGTAAAATTCAAGGCCCCTGTACCAAGCTAAAATACATGGCCTACTAGCCTAGAAAAAATAAAGCTAAATGTATGATATGATATAGTATGTAGTACATTGCAATAAAATATATCAAGAATGGTACCTATGTTGTATAATTTTTACTTGAATAGCATCATTCTGGTAGTGTTCTTTGAAATGAAGTCTTCAATGATATGCTCATAATCAATCTTCTAAAATTTAGAGAGATCGACCCACTACTACTCATTACAGTCTGAATGAATTGAAAAAAAAATGATTAATATTACCTTCGGGGCCTCAGTGCCTCGCTAGTCGCTGCAGGTTCAGGTTGCCATCAGTTCCTCACGCTCGATGTCAATAGCTCGTGATACGCGGCCGGCAGCTGATACGGCATCAGAGCGATGGCGGCGGTAGGGGACGAGGAGACCGAGACCTAACTGCTGCGAATTGGGATTGGCAAAACAAAATGATGCCCACTGTCCAGCGGTCGGCCAACAAATCATTTTTTATTGGACCAAACTGTTGCTGTGCAAGCTACCGTAATAGACTTGCTAGTTAATTGGCCAAAAGCCGAAGCTTCATCTGTGCTAATCTATTTAAGTACTCTATATTTGGAGGCCTACGAGATTTGGAGGCCCTGTGTCGTCGGCTCATGCTGCGCATGCGCAGGGATGGCCCTGGGTTGAGGCGTTGAGCCGCTGCCCGCTGCTGGTGGTGGTGGTGGAGCGCGCGCCGCTTCGCTTGGCATGTGCTGCTGTGCATGATCCAGAGTTGACCTGATTACAGCTTTGGGACATATTGGTGCGCAGGGGACCACCTGGGTTGGTCGGCCGGCTCCCATGGCCGGCCATGGTCGTCGAGCGCAGCTAGCGCAGG